GGGAAAGCTCTGGGAAAGGGAGCCTTTTCCGGACTGAAGCTTTTTCAATTTACAAACAAGGGAACTGAGTTCCCTAAGTTTATATGACTCTCCTGGTTTATGGAGAGTCCCAGAATAACTCCACAAGGTCCTCCATACAGTGGCGGTCTGCAAGGAGACTTGGGGAACAGTGCTCTGAAGTAGCTGGGTCAGCCAATTAGCTGGGGGATGGGGCTGCAAACACTTCATTGTTGAAGAAGCAGCCGTTTTGGAATTCTGTTTTTCAAATGGACAATAAGTCATTCCTTTCACTTCCTAAACACTTAATTTTATTATTCTTTTTACTGAGCTAAAAGAGGCTCTTTTCAGTCACTCTTTTCATTTATTCCTTTTTGAAGATCTGCATCATTTTGGGAACATCGTTATTGTTGAATGACAAGGAGGATTGCCAGAGGTCAGCTAAAATAAGGAAGCATAGAGTACTTTTTCTTCTTTAATTTTGATGGAGGAACATAAGGATTTAAAAAGTTGTGGTTTTATTTTGTTACTTTTATGAATTTGCTACCTTTATTTGTTGGGAGTTATAATTTGCAATTTTGAACTGCTTGTTGAAGGCTGAAATCTTCCTTTTTTCATATAATATTTAGTTTATTCAAAGAAGGTTAAAATCCAAAACACCAAAATATAAAAAACAAAAGAAAAGAAAAACACAACAAACAAGACATTAAAAAGAAAATGTGTCTTAGTAAAAAAAGACTAACACATATACACATAGAATCCTCCTTAGTTGAATGCTGATTAATACAACAATGTTAGTTTTCCACCCCCTTGCAAAACAAGCCAAAAGAGTTTTACTACTAAACTACTAAATCTGTTTACAAATTGTTAGCCTGTCATCTATATACTATATTAATAACAAAATAGTTAACATAGAAAATAATAATAGAAAATATATAAAAGTAATAAAAACTATTAATAATAAAAGAGACAAGATTAAAATTCCAAAACCCTCTGTTAACAAACTTACTGTATTCAACTTGTAGAAAATTTACCATGGCTTCAATCCCAGATCATCCCCAAAATTAACCCTAATTGGTCCTGGATCAAATATCTACATTTGTTTCTTAATACAATATGTTATCAGTTGCTGATTGATTAAATACAATAAGACCAATCTCTAAAACCAATCTATCTTCCCCAAAAAAGCCAGATGAGATTGTTCCCCAATTAGATGTAATAAGTTCATTCCCCACTCTCCTTCAGACCCCTTAAAAAAGACCCATTTACTCCTTATCCACTCAGAGGGTTCTCTACTATTATATAAAAGCACAGGATTAAGCTTCAAGAAGGTAGATAAAGTTGACTGTAATTTCTGGTTCCGTGTTTCTTCCCTGCCAATTTACTGCCAGAGAATCAAATCTTGGCTCTGAATATTTTCTGCAGTCTGTGTTGTTTGTGTTGTTTCTGAGTCTATATTTCTTGCCAATGAATCTGCTGCTTTAAAAACAAATTCCTTTTGTGGATCTAAAGTATTTGGGCTCAGTTTCCTCAGAATATTTTCCACGGTCTTTATGAGTTCATCCAACCTTCTAGAAAAAAATTCAACTAGAGATTGCATATTGCTAAACAGTCTCTTTTTTTCTCTCCTGAGTTTCAGCCTCCTCCTTCTCTCTGTAATCCAATATGTTGTTGCTCAGTGAAGTAGATAAGCAGAACAGGGAACAAACAGAAGGAACTATTTTGATCCAAAACCTTTTGTCAAGTTAATAAAATACAGATTCTCTGCGATGAATATTCAGTAAGAAAGATATAGTCCAAATATAAACACTTTTTCCATCCAAAGACATGTGCCGTGTTTCCATACGAGAAAGCAGAAGCTGGTGTAAACAGCCAAATAAAGAGAAAGCAAATAGAGTCCAGCCAGGGGTTGAAATAAATCAGCATTCAGCCAGCCAATTAACATTTAAAGATAAAGAACAAAAAGAAAAGTTGAAAAAGTGAAGTTAAAAGTCCCAGGCTTGCTCATGAAGACGTACTGCTGGTAGGAAGTGATGTAAAAAAAGACCATTGACTTTCTGCCTACTCCCACAAGGAACTGCAATCTTCAAGATTCCCCCTCCCAGGTGGGTCCACAGCCATCCAAAAGTCCGTCTTGGGTCATTCCTAAGTGTCCCCATTCAAATCCAGAGGGCAGGGCCTCCAAAGAACCAACTCTGTCAGCAAACACAGCAGATCGTGGATAAGAGAAGAGAAAGGCCCTCACCCTTCAGCACCCATCTTGGGGAGGAGTCACAGAAGGCTGAAATCTAGCAATTTTAATGGATTCTGTTTGGCCAGGTCAGGAGATACCAGTTGATCTACAAAAAGCTTTTAAAAAACAATTTATTCTTTGACCACAAGAAGGAGCTAAAGAACAGAAGAAGATGAAACAACATAGAAGGCATCCAAGACAGAAACTGCAAAAATTATTTTGGAGGTGTAGCTTAACAAAACAATTCACTTTATAGATTAACTATGTTCCAAAGTTGTCACAAAAGAGGAACAAATTACTCAAGTAATTGGAAGAAAAATGAGTAATCCGGAGATGCAACTAAGTGCTGAAAGTTATTAAACCACTGAGGCTACTGCACAAGTATTTGACAATGCAAAGGACTTAACTGTAATTTTAGAATATAAATCTGACACCAACAGTGCCCACTATGAAGATGGTTTAATTACAAGCCCCCCAGCGCAGTTGAAAGAAGAGTTGCAATTAAATCTACAATCCTCAAGAGAACAAGTTTGTGATCTCTACTTTGAGAATTTCTTGAGCAAAAGAGAAGTTTATATACATTTAATAGACATTCCAAAGAAGAAAAATATTTTATTCTATGAGGACAAGCTGGAGGGAGTGACTTAAAGTTAATAAGTTAGTTGGAGTTAGGATGGATTTTCTATTGGTTTGACATATTTAATTAAAAGAAAGTTTCAATGCATGGTTTTGTGCTTATAAAGCGGGTTTGAAAATGGGTTGCTTTTTTTCTTTCCTTTTTTTATATACTATATATAATGCTTGAGTAATTCCCAAAATTTGCAAAATATTATTGAAAGTGAATTTGAAAGTATGCATGTTAAAAGGAAGTTTAAAAAGATGCATTAGAATTAATTGTTTTTAATTATAAAGATGAATTTTTAAAGAAATGTTTAGAGTCTCAAAATGAATTTAAAAGAGTTTCCCTTTAAGGTTAAAGAATTTGAAAGAATATAGTGATTTTTGTTAATATAAATGATGACAGTTCAGAAAGATTAATAAGTATAAAGAGGAATATATCTATATATATATATTCGGACAGCCATTTGTCCAAAATGGTATAGGGTTACCTGCCTGAGCAGGGGGTTGAACTTGATGACCTCCAAGGTCCCTTCCAACTTTTATTATTATTATTATTATTATTATTATTATTATTATTATTATTATTATTATTATTATTATATATAGCAATAGCACTTAGACTTATATACCACTTCACAGTGCTTTAAGTGGTTTACAGTCAGCATATTGCCCCCAACAATCTGGGTCCCTCTGGGCGAAAAGTGTTTGGGCGCCTATGGGGTGTTTGGAAATGGAGCACTCCGTTTCCAAACACCCCATAGGCACCCAAACACTTTTCACCCAGACGGAGAAATGACAGAGACTGGAAGCTTCATCTGCTTGCAAATGGGGCCCTTGGAGATGGAGCAAATTGCTCAGTTTCTAAGCGCCCCATTCGCAAGCAGACGAAGCTTCCAGTCTCCCTCTGGGTGAAAAGTGCGTGGGCGTCTGGATCACCTGCCTCCCCCCTGCCTCTGCCTCCGCGCTCAGACTTACCTGTGCTGCGCCAAGGGCCTGGCGGGCTGTGGCTGCTGCCAGACACCGTCGGCTCCTGCACGCTCGTCATCGCTTGCGCTGGTCACGCCCACCCCCCGGGCTTATTTTTGGGGTACGGCTTATATTGGCCCACCCCAAAAATCAGGCTAGGGCTTATTTTCGGGGTGGGTCTTATTTTCGGGAAAACATGGTATACCGCAGACCTTCCATGCAGGGAAGGGGTGGGGGGGATGTACTGGGAAAACTGGCACCCAAAAGACAGTCTTTGTCTCCCTACTTCTATCATGTATGGATTGTCAAAAGATGGGGATGATATGCCTTTTTCACATAGTAAGAGAATTTTGACTTTCCTGCTGCTAAAAGGCTAAAAGCCTCCAAAACCAGTGGCCAGGAAATAGAGAGGGTATACCCCCAGTAGTAGGCCAACACCTCTAAACTCACCCTGGGATAATTAATTGCAAATTGCTCAGAATGTGTCAGCAGAAGTGGAAAAACTCCACTTTTGTAGTGGAGCAAGATATAATGGCAAAATTTGCCTGTGTAATGGGCTGAGGGTAGGTTTAAGACAGTATGGGGTATCTTTGTGCTAGAGCAAGCAGGAGGTACAGATGAGTCAGTAGAGTATTCTTTAAGTGCCTTATTTGTGCTCAAACCAGACTCATCTTTTAGTTACACATTTTTAATATCTTGTAGATCTTTTCCAGAGTGAGGTCTTACCTGGCCTATGAAGTATAGGGAGGCAAAAAGGGGCTATGGATTGGGGCCATGGCAAAAACTATTTTTGTTTCTTTTACACGTAATTAAAATTGAATATAGTTAATATGATTACTCCTCAATCATGTATTTAAACATTTTTTTTGGTCTGTCGTATTCAGAATTACAATTTAATAACATTTTGGGTGATTTCCTGGGATTACCTTCAAGGCTTTTGAGAATTGTTTTGGGCTCAGTGTTGCAGAGTGTGAACTAAGCTTTGTTTTGTTATTAAGGTCAAAATGGTACCACAAGTATTCTGCAGCAAAGTGAAAAGTATAATAAGTACTTAGGTTGAATTTCAATTAACCAGATAGCTCTGCTCTTAAAGTGATTTTGTGGGAAAGGATACTTACCTTCCTATTTAAAGCAGAAGTGAATTAAATTTAAAAATGTGTCTATTGAAATTCTTGTTTTATAGGATTTCCGGAAAGGAATGCACCTATATCTTACCAAGTTTCAGCATAAGAATGCTTCTACAGGTAATTGTGATGCTTGTGGCTTTTGTCTTTTCTGTTGTCTCTAGAACGTTCCATTTATGAAAGAGGATAACATTTATAAATAATCCCATACTGAATTTCTCTAACTGAAAAGACAAGGAACATAATTTTCCAGCAGTGTAGTTTCCTCTAAATCAGGCGTGTCCAACCCACAGGCCACATGTGGCCCTGGACAGCTAATAATGTGGCCCCACAAGATAATAAAAAATATAAAAGAATAAAGGGAGTCTGTTATTTATATACATTAAGTATATTATATATTTTATATGTGGCCCAAAACAATCCTCTTCACTCAGTGTGGCCCAGGCAAGGCAAAATGTTGGACAACCATGTTCTAAATTATAGCTTTCTGAAAACTTGACCCTTCCCACAATCCTTTATTTGGTGTATTAGAGCACTGCAGTAGTAATCGGCTATCATAGAGTCCTATAGTGAATTCTGAGCTTTTTCCTTTTCTTCCCTCAATACTTTTCAAAGTAAGCCAGTCTTATATTATATTAAGTCCTTGGGTAGATAATGTGAAAACACTGTTGTTTTTAATATTGTATATAACAACAGCAGTATATTAGGTTTTGTATAGTACCCAAATATGCAATGATACATGCCTAAATCTTGTAATTTAAGTACAGGTAGTCCTCAATTAGTGATCACAATTGGGACTAGCAACTTGGTTGCTAAGTGATGTGTTCAGTAAGTGGGATCTGAGAGATTTCAAGAATTGAGGCCACTTCCAAAATGACACCCGCTTCCAGAATGGCACAAGGTGGCTTCTCTATAGGAAGGCCACATGGTGAATTGGCTGGGTGCTCTTTTAGAAAGTCAATTTCCAGAGATCATCTTTCCACGGCCTTTTATGGAGTCTGCCTCGCATCATTCTGGAAGCATCCGCCATTCTCGCATTCTCTCAGAAGGGTGCAATTTTCCAGTCATGCCTTTCTGAGAGATCGCACAAAAGGTGCCCGCTTCCAGAATGTTGTGAGGCAGCTCTGCAGGAAGGTCATGTGTCGCATTAGCTGGGCACTCTTTTGGAAAGGTGATCTTCAGAAGAAGTAAGTGGAGCAAGACATGATGGGGCAGGGAGGAGGACTGTGAGGACCCAGCTGGCCTGGAAGTAGGCCCAAGGGACCCAACGGGGTAGGATGGAGGGGGGGAGATAAGCAGGTGGGGGCAGTTGCAGCATCCCTGTGGTCAGTCGTAAGGGCAGGTGGATTACCAAGGGCCCGAATTGTGATCATGTGACCGTGGGGCACTGGAGCGGACATAAGTACATGTTGTCTCCAAGGTGCTTTTTCAAAAGGCAACTGGACTTTCTTTTTTCCTTGAAGACATTTCGCTTCTCATCCAAAAAGGTTCATCGGTTCTGGCAGGATTGATGAAGCTTTTTGGATGAGAAGTGAAACATCTTCAAGGAAAAACAAAGAAAGTCGAATTGCCTTTTGAAAAAGCACCTTTGAGATGACCATGACCTGGATGACTGAGAATCTCCATAGACAAGTACAGGTTGTATGTCCATTCAGCATTGTTGTAATTTCAAACAGTTGCTGAACAAATGGTCGTAAGCCAAGGACTAACTTTTAATTCAGGTCACAGAGTTGAGCTTGTCAACTTGCTGTAAGCATCTTTTGTGGAAGCGCTGTGCTGCAGAGGAAAGCTCAGGAAGAGATTACTTGTTTAGGTAATCTCTTCACTGTGTGAGGGGAAAAAAAGAAAAACAAGTCAGGCACAAGACAACATGTACTAACAAAGTAATTGCAACATGTGACTAAGAGCAAGAAGCTGCAAAGGTTGTAAATGCAGGCATTGGTTGCAAAGTAATTTTAATCACTAGGGCGAGGATTTCTTTGACCTAAAAATGTTAGAAACTTGCAAGCATTTATGATCTTAAAATCTTTTAAATATGACCAATTAAACCAAAAACATGACTTTTAAAGCAAAAATATGACTTTACAATTTTTCTCAAATTAGCACCCAATTTTTAAAACTCTGTGCTTACACACACACAAATACAAATTAAAAGGTTTATTCTTCTTCACTTCCAGTGCAGAAGTGCTAGTATTGAAGGAATCAAATGGACATTTTGAGAGTAAAATGGTCATCCCTGGATTAGTTTTCATTAACAGCAGAATTGCATTGGATGACCATGTGCATCTTGAGGTTATCAAACTCAAAACTCCTTTTGTTGTCCACCAGTATGTTCTTGTATCTGGAGAAACTCTGTTTGACATCAGAAGAGGTTATAGGAACAAATTTGAAAAAAGCAAACTCATCTGGGGAAAATTCTGGCTTGAAATCTTCAAATTTTGGTTCAAGTCCACTTAGAATGTTACTTACAGGTAGTCCTTGACTTACAACAGTTCATTTAGTGACCATTCAAAGTTACAATGGCACTGAAAAAGTGACTTATGACCATTTTTCACAGTTACAACCTTTGTAGCATCCCCATGATCATGTGATCAAAATTCAGATGCTTGGCAACTGGTTCATACTTATGACCATTGCTGTGTCCCAAGGTCATGTGATCCCCTTTTGCAACCTTTTGGCAAGCAAAGTCAATGGGGAAGCCAGATTCACTTAGCAACCAGGTTACTAAATTATCAACTGCATGATTCACTTAACAACTGTGGCAAGAAAGTTTATAAAATGGGGCAAAACTGACTTAACAAATGTCTCATTAACAACAGAAATTTGGGGCTCAATTGTGGGCATAAATTGAGGACTACCTGTATTTTGCAAAGTGTTGAATAACCCAGATTAGATTGCAGCACTCTTTGCAGTTTATCACTATTTTTTCAGCCACTTTTCCCTTTGCTTGCTTTAAATCACTCTCTGTTTGTTTTACAATGTTCAGTGCATCACTAATTCCATTCCTACAGTTTCAAGGTGGGTGATTGCTCTTGATATCCACTGAAATTGGAACATGCTAAGTTTCCAGCCAAGGTTTCAGAAAAGGAATCTTGCACAATCTTGATGGAGGGAGATTCACAACAGTCAAATTCTTTAACTATCTGCTGCAAGGAAGCATAATTTGTGGAATAATACATAGCCGCATTCAGCCAAGTCCCCCAACATGTCCCGACAGGTTGGAGAGAAAGAGCCAAAGTAGGAGAATTTCTTTGAACTTTCATACGGGTCTGGATGGGGAGGAACAGACTCAGACTCAACCCTTCCAAGACCGAGTGGCTGTGGTTGCCGGCGCCCCGGCATAGTCAGCTGATTCCATCGCTGTCTATAGGGGGCGAAACTTTGGCCCCCTCAGAGAGGGCGCGCAACTTGGGTGTCCTCCTGGATCCACGGCTGACACTGGAAGATCATTTGTCGGCC